TTGATGCCTTTTTGGTTTAGTTATGAGTTTTTTAATATTTGATTTGTTGATTTTTGGTAATATATTATAATAATGATATATTTTTGACTCTATCATAGTTTCAGATCTTTTTCTTAAGCTTGTATCTAAAGAACTCTATTATATATTTGTTTCCTTTTCGGTTTGGATATTTATAATTGGCTCTTAGAGGTCTTATTGTATTTATAACTAAATTGGCTCAAAGAGCAAAGAGACTATTAAGCTTTGATGACTGTTGGCTATATAAAACCCAACTTTAGAGACCAGTACAAACACCTTTTGATATCTTTTGGTTATGCACATTAATCCCTCAATGTCTTTTATCATTTTATCAATAAAAACCCTACACGTTCACGTCACTTCCAAAGTTTGACTGGAAGTTGACAGTACAATTGGATCTCCCGGACAATCGAGTGGACGGACAACAGCGGGACAGGTGATAATTTCTGGGCCATTTAAGGCGGTACGTGATAACTGGCATATATTTTTATATATTGTATAGTATAGTATAGTAAATATATAGCTTATAGCATGTGTTATGCAAAGCTAGAGACAGCCGGTAGGTAGGTAGATCGGTCTAATCAAGTGGCTCAAATTGCCGTACAAATTGAAATAGATAATGGTGGCCAAAGTGACAGTGGCGGCGACGACATAACGACAACAAGACTGCGACTTAGCATATTCGGTTTGGGATTAGTCATGCGTATCGCCCTGAAAGCCCGATAACTGCTGCAGATAAAGCTGTCCGCGAAAAAATAATATATACAAATGCTAAAAACAGGCACAGTGACTCGAGAAAGTCAATCCACAGGTGTTTTCTTTTGTTTCTGTGTTTCTGACTATCGTCTTACCGCACAGAATTAGCATAGCCGTCTAGTTGGATTGGGTGATTATTTTTATATATATACACAATACATACATTTATAAAGAAACAATGATGAGCACCAATAAAAAATTCCCTCACGTCGTCTATATATAATGATATCATCGCCTAACTTTGGAACAACCTCAGCGCAAAGGCGATGAATCTCCGTGAATGCAATGCCGCAAAACTTCAATGTCAGTGTCAACCGTTGCATATATTGTACGGGAGAATATACATATAAATATATATACACACATTCGATTGGAACACAACACATCTCTATATTTAAGTCTCGGATATTTCAAGAGATTCCGACATTCCAATATCCAATTCCCGGGACCATTAATCATCGATTCCCATCTTCTGTTTGCCTTACTGATTCGCCCTCTTTGGGTACTTGAATACTTCCAAAAATATATCTATATAGTATACAACAAATTTCATTATTTAGGCACGATGTGTAACGGTAGAAAGTTGCCAATTTGTAGTGTACACATAACGGATTCCCCTTTTCCAAAATGAAGAATAAATAAAAGGCAGACATTAGCCATGAAATTAGCATTCAATCATGGAAATCAATGAGTTATCTAACCCATCAAGGGTGATGTATTCAGAACCACAGTGGGGAGTTCTTTAATGGCATCCATTTAAAGATCTTGTGTCGAAGATATTGATATTCAAACCATTAACTCTTAATAGTTTCAATTAAATTTGCAAATTAAATAAGAGTTGGGTAGTAAGAATTGGAAATCAGAACATGATTCACAATATGTAAATAGAAATGAATAAAAAGTGTGCGTTATGCATCTTCTTCTTATTAAATAAGATGAGTAAGATCATAGTAACTAACTAATATAGCTCTTATTTTACAGAACCTACTCTTTCCTTGAGATCCACTTAAGAGATTCAAAATTTTCAAAGCCAAAGATATGGGCCAGGCTAGGTTAACTCGTGAGACCTTAATGTGACTACTGATCGATCAAGTTCACGCAACGATAAGTGATCTGATTTCGCTAGGTTTTAAAGACCTTGTTTGGGGATCGATCGATTTGATAAATGTAAAGTAAATGGGGAAATGCTCTGACCCCTATGGCAAACGGCAATTACAAGCATTTGTACTTTGCTCTATAAATATATATGTATATATCACTATAAGTTTGTATACAAATATATCAACAACTTAACGTGTTTGTCTGTTAACTGGGCCGGCAGAGTCACACTACTTGTGTTGGAAGTGGAAATCGATAGAGAGCGTTACTTAACCATCTTCGCCAACAACGTGTGTTAAAGCAAACAGTTCAATTACGCCAGATTGTTAACAATATATCTATCATATAGCAGTAATAACAAGCCATATATAGACAGGGATAATTGTGAGCTTATGGTAAAGATTCGAGTACATATATATCTCTCTAATGACATAAATACCAAAGTATAGCCGATAAGCCAGAGTATAAAGTTCAAAACAAACCAACTAGAGAGTAATTTAATTTTTATTTCAATTAGCCAGGTTCAAAAGGCCCCCAAAACACACACACACTTTACGTTTTTTGCGGCTGTTGATGTGCTATTAGCCAAAGCTCATTATTTTTTGGCAACACACACCGACCGCAAGCCATGTTTATGGAACGTGATGATTTATGGCAAGAAAACATTTCTCATCGCCCGCCTCAAGATAGCCGAGGAATTTTTTCAACTTACTCATGTTTATTTCAAGGGGAACTTTAGTGACTGACTATAAAGGCCAAAACCAAAAGACCAAAAACAACTGCAATATCAATTTGATAACCAAGAACCAAAAACAATAACAGGTGGAAAAGAGCGGCAATAACAGCTGAGAAATCGACTCCCTCTCTCCTCGGGAGGTTTAACCAACTGAAACTAAAATAATAATATGCCAATAATATGAATGGGAATGGAAAATACTACAACCGATAATCCCAAACAATTGAATAGTTTAGCGAATTCGATTAGAAATCAAACCTTGATGGCCAATAAAGGGAGTGCCAATATACATATACCCAGCAATATATCTATATTATTATTCTTCACTATTCTCTCCATTTGGGATCGAGGAGACTTGGGACTCCATGCTGAGTTTAATATCTAATTAGGCTGGCTAATTGTTGGGCTAATTAGTTCGGGGCTGCTGCTCATTAAAAAGTAAACACAAATCGATTTGCCTCAGGCAATCCATGGGAAAGGGGCGCGTGTCTCAATCACGAATAATAAATATACAGTGCGGATCATGAGCAGCGATTTAGTAATTGAATATCTTGTATTACATGTTAATTTGTAATAGTATCGGTTAAGCAAAATATATTAGAAAGTATCGAGTAGAGTTTTCAACATATTAATAATTCATTTTAAAGAACTTATTCCATATATTTCCTTTAGGAGAACCCCACTGCATAGTTTCTAAAAATCAATTAAAGTCAATTATTTGAAAGGTTAACTATGGATTTAATTGGGAAAATTAAGGGAAGTCTACTTCCTGTGGGAATCAGCGTCTAAGCATTAAAACCTTACAGCTTTGAAATCTACTGTACTTGGGATAAGTACATGTGAAATTAAACTGTATCTGTGTATTGATTGTTACAGAGAGAACAATTTTTTGGGTACAATATATAAGATTACTAGTCTTGTTTATATTTGGAAAATAATTGTTAAATATTTTTAATTTTTTCAAACTATATCGGACTGAGGTTTTATTTAAAAGAGTCATATAATTTTATAATAGATTAACTATTAGTTGGATCTTAAATTAGGGGTTTATGTAACGAAAATATTGTAAAGTTTGTAATATCAATATTTTCAAAACCAAAAAATATCGATTAGCTTAAAAAATATTGGGAAACGGAAATATTTGTGTATCGATTCACATTTAAAATATATCGAAATGATATCTTATTTTAGAAAATTTAAAAAATTTCAATTATAAAGAATAAAATCGAACAATCTAAAGTACAGAACCTTCTTAATTATTTTTCAATGAATTCAAATAAATGAAATACTGAAAATTCTTGATTTTTCTGTAAAACAACAGCTTCTTTTCGCAGTGTATTGCTGTAGAACTCAGTTGTTGCTGCGGCAATTGCCCGTAATTTGCATGGCCTCACACTCACACTGCTGCACAATCTAACTATGTCATTAGACAATAAGTAAACAGCGCCTACCTACCACGCCCCCATCCGCCTACTCCCCCCCGGAAAATCGCCATGCCTTTGCGATTTACGATTTGCTTTTTTTTTTCCTATTTTCCATTGTGTGCAAATACGAAAAAAACGCACGCGACATAAAAAACGCTTCTCATTTTCCTTCATTGCCGCCGATTTCGATTTTCTTGAGCTTATCGCCGGCAATAGGTGTTTGTATGATATATGTATATGTTTGTGTATGTGTGAGCCATTAAACAACCTGGCCGACAATTAAGCACTAAGCCAGGCGCAAAAGGCGCAAAGCAAATATCAAATAGCTACGAAAATAAGAACAAAGGCATTTAATTGATAAAGCAAATACCAAAAAGTACACTGAGAACTAGAAAATACTCTAAGAAAATGGGAAATATATATAGATAATTATTTAAATAATGTTTAGGGTTGATTTTTGATGAAAATATAGCTAAAAGCTATGAAATGCTGGCTCCTAAGAACACTGTTTACATAACCCTGGCTAAAATTTTACCTTTTTTCTCTTCAAACTTTAAAAATTTCTATAATGTTTTTGTACCAACAAAGTCGACCTTGGAACAAATTGTATTATTTATTAAAAACAAAAAAAAACAAATTTTGCTTTCCCAATTACTTTACGTCAACAACACACGACAACACTACACTAAGTTTTTTTCTGGGGCATTAGAAGGGTATCATGGATGCGAAGCCTTACTCTAGGCAATGAGTATATGTATCTGCGGCAGATATACAGGTGGCAGGTGATAAGGAGACCCACCACCACCGCCCCCTCCATCATCCTTATCGCGCCAAAAAGCTGATAAGAGAGGCAACCGGAGCGTTGTGGATGGAGTGGAGCGTCGTCTTGTGGTTATGCGGGGGCATTGTTTTGTAATCGGCAAGCTTTTAACTCACTTTCTGTCTCTGCCTTGCCTTTCCACTTGCAGATTTCGCAGCGCACAAATCGCACGCCATTTTCTAGCATGCTCTAGGAATCATCTACAATATTACGAAACTCGAACATCCAAGTAACAAGAAACAAAACAACAAAAAACTGAAAGAAATCACAAAACAAATCGAATAAAGCGAGCAAGTCGAAACACGTTTGAGGAATACGTAACCGGAAACGAAAATCGAAACGGAAACGGAAGTTGGAGAGAGAGGGAAAGAAGGAAGGATAACACAGTTCAGAGGCCACGCCCACCAACATGAGCAGCATGAAGGGCGGCTTCTCCACACTTAACCGCTGGTTTGGCCGCAAAAAGGGTAAGTCAGCGATCTAATCTATCGATAAGTTAATCGATCAGTCAAGTAAAGAAGAAAACTTTTGGAGGAATCTTCTTCCAACATGAATAAATACATATTAAATGATTAATTTAATCAATTTTTTTAGACAAAACCAGCACTGGCAGCACCTCCATCGGCAAGCTGTCCAAGTCAACCACACAGCTGCATCACCTGTCCACGGACACGGACATTAACGAGACTAGTCAGCTGGAGTACAACAGGATAACGCCGGTGCCGGCTGCCACCAGTAATGCACCCTTTGAGCAGACATTCCGCATCACGGTCCTGCTGCCCAAGGATCAACTATTTGTGGCCAGACTGGGCGCCCGAGTGCCGCTCAGCAAGCTCCTGTCGCTGGTCTGTGACAACAAGCAGCTGGATGCGGATAAGTACGAGTTCCGGAGTCCAGGTGGGTCTAGTTCTCTTGCAAGATCCTATAGATCCTTACTAAATCCTACTCTTTTTAATCCCCAATCTCCCCGCAGTGGACGCTAGTCAGGTGTATAGCTGCGAGTCGACCATTGGCGCTGTGGGTCTCTCAGAGATCCGTCTGTGCCACAAATCCGAGTCATATGACAACTTTAATCCGGATGCCATGCACCATCACAAGTTCCAGCGTACCGGCATCGCTCGCGATTCCCTAAGCAGCAGCTCGGACTTTAGCAGCAGTCGCCACTCGAAGGTGACAGCCAAGACGCCAAGTCCGTACAGTTCGAGCAACTCCCTCAACTCGATGGACTCCACTGGGATGAACTACACCCGAACGCCGGTGGTGGTGCCCCCACCGCAGGCAACAAAGGTCATGGCACCGCCGCCGCGCAAGAAGCGTGCAGCGCCGCGTCCTCCAAATCAAATATGCATACCAGAGCAATCCGTGCCGGATATACCCTCCACAGTAGGAGCAGGAGGAGGAGGAGGAGGAGGAGGAGGATTGAAGTCAGAACCCGCCTATGCGGTGATTGTAAAGCGTCCACAGTTGTGCATGTCCACGCCCAATCTCTCAGCCGGTCAGCTGGAGTTGGATTGCAATGGCAATAGCTCCAAGTCACTAAAGGATGAAGACTCTGCCTCCGATGGTCACTATGCCACGCTGGATCTGAAGCAGCCACCATCGGTTAGTGGTCCAGAGCCAACGCCCAGGAAGCGTATAATCCAAATCAAAAAGAAAACAGCACCGGCACCGCCACCTGGCGAAGATACCATATCGCTGGCCTCCATACCAGAGCCAGTGACACCCACGGCAAGTGTGCCGCAACCGGCGCCAAGGATCACAAGCCCGCTGCCAGTTGGACAGCCACCACTGCCCGTCAGTGCAGCGCCACAAGTGAATGGTAATGGTAGTGGAACACCCAATGGAAGCATGCCGGGAACACCCAATGCCATGTCTTTGGACACTAACAAAGGTATTCCCAATGGCACACCCAATGGAACCCCTCTTGGCACCCCCAATGGCAATGTATCCAAGGTACTCCTGAATCGAACACCCACACCAGAGCCCCGATCTCTGGGCAGTGCCACCGAAGAGGATGACAATGATGCGGCCTCGAAGCAAGCAGATTCCGGCATTGGTGAGCCAGTACCATCGCCATCATCTGTTACGCCCGAGCCAGAGGCCGAGAAGTCGCAGCAAGAGTCCAGTTCCGAGGACGATGAGGCCATCAAAGTGTATAACTTCAAGCTGTGCCAGACCTCCTCCAAGAAGGAGAAGGAAGAACTAATAACGCCACCAGTGGCCACCAGTCTGGCTGAACTGGCGGTGCTTACAGCTGCCGCTGCCGAGGATGAGGAGGAAGCTGGCAGAAAGGAAGAGGGACAAATGGTCAATACACCCAGCAGTGCCAGCGAACAGACATCGCTCTCGTCGTGGAATTACTCGGTGCCCATATCACCGCCGCCAGATTTCTCCGATCAGCAAGGACGCCAACGAAGTGCTGGCTCAATGAGTCCCGGTTCGCCACTGGACGAGATTGTGGACGAACTGTCGGCGATAATCAATCACCAGGGACTGGACACATTGATTAAGAAACAGCCCGATCCTCGGCTGGCCGAGATTGAGGCCGCAAAACCGAATCGTTTGGCAAATTTCAGTATAGCCACGGCCACGGCAAAGAGTACAACACGGATTACTAGAGCTGACTCCTTTCAGGCAGGATCCGGTGCCGAGGCAGAGGTAACATCGCCCGGCGGAGGAGCACTCAGCCTGCGCAGCACTTCCCATGTCTCGCTGAATAAGTTGGAGCAGCAGAATGGTTACAGCTTGGGTCAGCGTCGCTCCTCCAGTGAGCTAAGCATTGGCGAGTCACCCTCGCTGCAAAGTCTGGAGGTGATTAAGACTATCCTCAACTCCAGGAAGAATAGCTTGGCCGAGAGTGGAGGCAGTACGTCACCAACTGTGGAGCAACCAAAGAGCATAAAGCAGGAGCAGCCCAAAGAGGAGACAACGGTGGATGGCGGAAATAGAGCTTTGGCAGCTGACATCGTCAAGGAGCAGCAGCCATCACCAAGGGATCTACCTTCCCCTGTGACTTTTATTGCTCCTTCTCCTACTCCTGTCCAGGAGGCATCACCCAAACCCATGGAAAAGCAAAAGCCTGTGCCTGTTGCCAAGCCAGTGTCACCTGTTATCCCCAGACAAGTGGTTTCTCTGGTTCAACAGCAGGAGTCTCCTTCTGTCATTAAGAAAGAGTCTCCCCCTGTCGCCAAGAAGGAGTCACCTTCCCCTGTCGCCAAGGATTCACCTCCTCCTGTCGCAAAGGATTCACCTCCTCCTGTCGCTAAGAAGGATTTACCTATCGCTAAAAAGGAGTTATCTCCACCAGTCCAAAGGCAATCCCCTTCAGCTGTCAGCAGACTCATCCTGGACCAAACTCCAGTTCAGAAACTAGATGCAGCTCCAGTTGCAGTCTCTACAACGCCCCCGAATACACCAGCCTCACCTGCCACCAGTCCCGCGGTCACCATGAGAGGCAACACAGGCCAGGTGGAGAGTCCCCAGCCGGCCAGGAAGCCCATCGAATTGTCACCCAGCTCCAAGCCAATGCCACCCACATATCGATATTCTGGACCGCCCAGCATTAACTTTGCCACGTGGAGTGAACGACCCAAGTCCCAGGTGGCCATTAAAAACGAAGGTGACTACATATTCGGTGGAGCAGGCAAGGCTCAAGGAATGCAATCACCACCACCAGCAGCAGCAGCAGCAGGAGCATCAAACTCCAAGCTCACCATTGAGGTGGCTTCACCCATACTGAGAATGGGTATTTCACAGCGAAAGGAATACCATGTGCCCATCACGGTCAAGCCGCTCAAGGATGTTGCCATCCCAGAGGCAGAGACAGAGAAGATCCCGAGGAAGTCAAGTCACAACCACAAGTCCAAGTCCAAGTCCAGCCCCAAGTCAAGCAACAAGTCCAAAACCAAGCCACAAACCAAAATCTATCTTCGACGCTGCCGCGACCTGCCAAGAGTCATCGCTTCACCCTGCCAGCCGGTGGTGGGAATCATCACATCCAAACGGTGACGAGCACCAGCAGCAGCAACTCCCTGCCAAGACCCGTCTCGAGTCTGGAGAGGAACACCAGACCGGCGGCAGAGGCTGTGCCTACACCGGCTCCCTTTGGCCAAAATACATTGCGACGCACTGGCTTCAAGGAGCGCATGCTGGCCCGAGAGCAGCTGGAACAGGAGCAGGCTCTGAGCATACGAGTGTCTGTCAATGGTACAGCTCCTGCTTCCACAGCAGCACCTACTCCTACTCCAGCTCCCGCCAAAGCTACTGTTGTACCAGTCTCTATAGTAGCACCTATTCCGGCTCCCAAACCCACATCCCCCAAGCCAACGCTGCCGGCCAAGAATGTACAGCAGCCGGTCTTCAAGACCACCAAAGTGGAGGTGAAGCTCCAGCAGGCACCGGAGGAGTCAACCAAACCGGTGGTGCTGCAGGTAAAGCTGCGACCCAGCTCCCAGCCAGTAGTGATGGCAGCCACAACGACGACACCACCACCACCGCCGCCGCCGCAGCAGCAGGTGCAACTGAAGCCGGTCAAGTCATCGTCCGTGGGACGCAATGCATCCGGTGGACCGATGGCAGATCCCAGGTCGCAGCTCCTTGAGGCGATACGCAACTTTAAGCGTGAAGAGCTCAATCGATCCTGAGGATATATATGAGAGCGGAAGAGGAACAAACCCTGGGCACAAGAAGCCGCACAAATTGTATTTTTTTTTCTATGTAATGTAAATTTTGCTGAGAGCATCGCCTTTCTTCAGTTGTAAATAATTAGAGAGCAGATAAATTACAGGATTTAGTAGAACCTATCTCTGTGTGTGTTTAAATATATATATTTCTTTATATATATATATTTCCCTCGCAGAAAAAAACCGCTTCTATATTTCTGTGTGCGCTTCCAAAGCGCCCCCAGCTTATTACCCTTTATATATACATATATTTTTTTTAACTAATCTTAGTTTTTTTGTTATCAACTATGTAGTAGTTTTTTTAAAACTTTGTTTTAGTCATTAGGTCACAAGATGCCCCCCAAAAAAAGGAGAATCAATAAGCAAAATGAAGAAATTAAAAAAAAGTGAAGGAAAGGAGAACGATAAAAGCGAAAATAATCGATAATATATGGATAATATCGTGTGTTATCATAATATCGTATGTTATTATATATATTTCATATGCCTTAGTGAATTATAGTAACCAATTTTCTAACCAATATGGGACTGGTCTACTTAGTCGTGTCAAAAACAAAAAAACAAAAACAAATAATGCGATACCAAGAGTTAATAAAGCTAATAAATTATTATTTAAAACGAAGCACCATGTAATACCCGGCAGCCAGCAGTAAATGCATTTAGCGCTCATGTATATACATATATGGCATTGTATTAAAGTGAATAATAATAATAAAAGTATACAAGTTAAGCGATTGTTTTGTTTTATTTATGCAAATTTTTTATATTTCAGTTGAAGGTAAGGTTAAATGTTACACAGTTTTCTGTTTGCAGATTACAAAAGTTTGCGTTAAAGTTTAATGTCCTGTTTAACAGGTTTCAAAGTGCAATATCATCGATTGTTTTTTATGAATTCACAAAAGAATTATGTTTTTATTTTTATATCAGAAATGCGTACGTTAAATTTATGCTTAAATGCACTTGTTAGCAGATTTACAGTTTCAATATTTTCCGTATTTCTTTTATAAAATTACAATTTGTTCAAAGATAAGCCAACAGTAATCTGCTTTTGTTTTCATATTAAAAATGTTTACGTTAAATTTAAGGTTACATGTTTAAAGTTTCAACATCATGCTCTATCTTTGTTTTCTTTTGTTTTTTTTTAAGTACAAATGAATCATGTATGTAAGGCCAACATTTTTTTGTTTTTGTTTTTAAGACAAGTTAAATAAGCTGGTTAAGAAGTTTTCAATAGCAATATCATCCTGAATTTTTTTATAAAATGACCTTCAAAGTTGTTGTTTTTTCCTCAATTTTTGAATGTATTAAAGTTTTGATTTAATGTTTTTTTTTTACAAAATCATTAATGAATCGAATCATATTATGGCAAAAGTATTATATTTTTTGTTTTTCATTAGCCATTTAAGTTCATGTTAAATTTCTTGCTTTACTGGTTAAAATTTTAATATCAATGCTCTTTTTTTTAAATTACATATAAATCATTCGACCGACAATTTTTGTTATTGTTTTTAAATTAAGATTGAAGTTTCTTGGTTGTTATTATTATGGATTCTTTCTTATAAAATGACTTCAAAATGAATTAGCCAAGATTTTTAAGGTTTCATTTTTCAAATTACGAATATGTCTGGTAAAGTTACTATAGAACTCATTTAGGTTTAGAATAACCATTTTTTTGATAAAATATAAATAAATAACGTTTAATACTTCTGTCTTTATATGAACTAAAAGAAACTTAAATGTGGACTCTTTCCATTGTGCCAGCTAAAGGATAAGTTCCCTATTATCAGGGTTTCAGTATCGCTTTGTTTTCTGACAACAATATGACAAAAATAACGTTTAAGACTTCTGATGTCTTACAAAATTTCAAAATAGGTTAAATGCAAGTTTTCCATATCAGATTCAAATGTCGATGAAGGTGGTTCTAAATTGTCCGGGTATCAGATAAAGGTTCTTGAAGACACATATTTAAAAGTAAATTCAATCATAATAAACCCAAAAAGAGAGCAAATAAAGAGATTCGTCGCTTACCGAAATCCTTTTAATCGAGTTGCTTCGAGTTGGACGGATAACGATTACACCCGCTATGGCGTGAATATTCCTTGGCCCTTGAGAAGCCTTTTGGATCCGTGGCTCTGTCACTCGAAGGACCAGTGTTAAGCGCAGAAATATCGTCCGAAAATTCATCAGAAGAGTCGTGTTGGGTGTCAAGAAACGAATTACGGTGATGTCCGCCTTGGCGGTGATATTTCTTGGCCATTGGACAGGAGTAAGTACCAACCGCATTTGAACGACGACCGTCTAATGTGGTGATTTCGTCCCAAAACAACACAGGGGAATGCCGCTGTGAGTCTACTAATTGATCGGGGTGATGGTGGATATAATTCTCTGCCTTTGAGAATTCTTTTTGGGTTGTGGCTCCATGTTGAATAGTCTTACTCGGACGCCGACTGGTATGCGGTGGGAACTTGTACGAAAACTCCTCAGATGAGCGGAATTGCGAGTCAGTTGACGGCCCGTCTTGATAAGGATACGCCTTAGCTTTTGGGGAGGAGGCTCTTTTATCCATTGGTCCGTCAGGAACAATCGAGGTGATGTAGTCAAAAAACTTCTCAGGGGAGCGACGCTCCAAGTCGACTTGGCGCTGATAATTGTTTTCCTTTAAGACGCCTTTCTGAGACTCCTCCCTTGAACGATGATGGTTAATCGGAGAGAGAGGGAGAGAGGGCTCCGAAAACTCCTTATGACGACGTCCGCCTTCGCTATCAAATTGCTCGTCCTCCCCGAAATCGCTTGTGTCCGGCAACTCATTGGGAGCGCTGTGTTCGCCCTGATAGTCAAATTTCTCGATCTCCTTCAAGTCTTTTTGATCCGTCGCTCCATTAGGAATAGGCTCACTAGAACGTGGAAAGTCGTATTGAGAACGGCGCTCCAAGTCACGGCAATGACGTCTTTGGCGGGAAGATTTCCTGACCCCTGAGCGGCCTCTTAGACCCTTGGGTACATAAGGACCGCATGAGCTCGAAAATTGACTGCTAATCGGTGAAGTGGCCCCCGAAGACTCCTCATAACGATGTTCGCCATGCTTGTTCTCGATGTTCTCAAGCTCTTTTTCATTCGTGGCATTGGAGCATTGACTGGCAATCGTGGAGACATCCAAACGCTGACGACGACTTTTGTTGGCCTGGTTGATTTCCAAGTCTTGAAAAGTTGCCAAAGATTGAAAGGAATCCAGCAAAGTTTCACCGACGAGCGCCGCGCTTCTGGTGTCAGGCGTATGGGTTTTGTAATTGGTCTTTAGCTTGGATGGTACATGCTTGCCAGGTTCTATAAAAATGCCAAGATCACGGCACATATAGTCGCTGAAGGTGAAGGCCCAGCGTATCACCATGCTCTGAGCGCAGTAATTGGCGCAGTCCTTCTCCTCATGGAACTCGCAGCCGATGTGGCTGGCAAACTCAAAGAAATCCCTTAGGAAGAATCCGTCCGTTATTATCAAATTGATCTTGTCATTCAGCTGGCCGGCTATATCGAGGGTCGCCTTCTTCAGGGTCATGAACAAGTACTGGATGTCATAGACCACAATTTTTGGTAGAAAATCCTCCTTGGCGCCGCTGGCCAAGTAGTCGAAGCATGACTCCACGATCCGTCTCATGGCCGTGGTGGTGAACACGATCGCTGGCATACGATCCTGGAACTTGCAAATATATCTGTTTATCTGAGAATAGAGCTTGGACATGTTGCTCTCGCCCAGGGCCATCGGCGGCAATGGCAGCTTGTGTGTAGCCCGGGAATGATCCTGGGCAGTCCGGCCCAGACCCAAACTGAGATGGCCGGGGTCTATTAGTGAGCTAAACACGGAAATTATGCCCTCTTTCAGGGAGTATTCGCAGGCGCCGAACTCGGCGGGCACATAGAAATCGCCATCAGGATCTCTAACGAAGTGAACAAAGGCACAAAACAGGAACTTGGTATTCTCCAGATCTATAATGAGACACAAGAGTGTAAGAAATTGCGTGTGTGTGTGTGTGTGTGTGTGTATGGGTGTGTGGGTGTGTGCCTGTGTGTGTATGGGTGAGTGTGTGTGTGCTTGTATGTGTATGGGTGGGTGTGTGCCTGTGTGTGTATGGGTGTGTGTGTGTGTGCCTGTGTGTGTATGGGTGGGTGTGTGTGTGTGCTTGTGTGTGTATGGGTGGGTGTGTGTGTGCCTGTGTGTGTATGGGTGGGTGTGTGTGTGTGTGTGTGTGTGTGTGCGCGTGCGTGTTTGTGTTTGCGTGTGCGATGAAGAGGTGCTGCTGACCTTGAGACTTCTTTCCCTCCATTACCATGCGCTCGATGGTGCGCTGCATGTTCTCCTCCTGGTCGCTTTTCTCGCGCATCACACGGTCCATCTGGTCGAGCGTTTCTTTGCCGCTCGCACAGATGCCGCCAAAAGTCAACCGCTCCTGCGCAGTCATATTCTTGGAAAAGCAGTCGCAAGAGACGCGGTGAAATGCATGCATGGCAACAACAACGACAACGAAACTCACCTCCCAAATGGGGCTGCAGTGAGACACCGCCTCGACAACGTCCATATTTGGGTGATCCTTGCGCCAATGGTTGACGAACACCATAAAGCTGCTCCGCTTGGTCCGAGGAGCCATGGCAAGTACGTGAATTCTTGGGAAAAACACCAGAAAAAAGCAAAAGAAAATTCACCAGCACAAACTCTCGCCAACAAGAAAAAGAACTGCCAACTCCGAATCTCAAAAGCAACGGGATTTGCAAAATAACGGAATCAAGTGACAGAAAAGCTGTCAGCTTGACATTCTGTTAAGTTAACAGGCTGTGAAGTTACCATTCTGTTAAGTTAACAGGCTGTCAAGTTAACATTACGCCTAAATAACATTTTTATTGTTTTCAGTGGTACCAAAGCCAATTATTATTTAATTTCAATTAAAAACAATGTAATTTGTCAAGTTAATCAATTAAATAAATAGGCCGGACCTGTTATTTGCATGTATGGCAATTTTTAGTGAACTTTCTTTTTAGAATTTAAGCTTGCCGGTCGTGAGCAGCCGGAGTGGCTTAACAGAGACAGCTATCGATTGCTCACGCAAGCGATATATCGATAATAATGTTACCACCACTATCTGGCAATAAGAAATTGTATAATTTCTTGTTTTCATTTTTGTTGAATTAAATTCCTGCCCCACGAGAGAAAAATCACACACACTGCAATGTCGCTACGAATACTGAAGACCTTGGGGCCAGCCACCCTGACTGCTGTCGGGCGGCAGCAGCAGCAGCAGCTAATCCACACGACGCCGGCGTGCTGCGAAATTAGGAAACTCGCCCGCCTCCGGGTGGTGGACAACAGTGATCTTGGCAAGCGGGCCATGGCCGAGGGCCGGCCACCGCGCTGTATTCATGTGTACAACAAGCGTGGCGTTGGCGTGATCGGCGACAAGGTGCTGGTGGCCATCAAGGGCCAGATGAAGAAGGGCATCCTCGTGGGCCTCAAGCAGAACCAGAAGCCCAAGCAGCCCAAATTCGACAGCAATAACCTGGTGCTCATCGACGACAATGGCAGTCCGTTGGGCACCCGCATCCATGTACCAATACCCACGGTTCTGCGGACGATTCTCAAGGAGAAGACGCTGGCCAAGGGAGCGGACTACACCAAAGTTCTGGCCATAGCCAGCAGATACGTTTAGAATCAGTCCTCCTGCCGTCGGTCGGCTTTTTTTGTTTGTTAAACTTGTAAAGATACGAAAAATATATGAAAATATAAAATTATATAGAAAATTAAACACTTTGAGGTGTTTTTTTAGTAACTAAAGGCTAAGTTTAAAGGAAATTTGATGTTTTTGATATAATTTTAAACTTTGGAAAGACTTTGTAATGCTTTTAGGGCAGCTATGGACACTAGGACGGGCTTTTCAGCTGCCAGAATTAACTTTTTACACGACAATTAAGCTGATTTTCTATTTGTAAGCATTAAAAGTCTAGGCTTTTCCGATTTTATAAGGAAAATATGCACCTAGTTCCATCCATTTACAATAAAGTCCCTGTGGGACCCTTTAGGTTTCTGTTTTTAAACCAAAAACAAAGAAACAACTTGCTTTTCCGTAGTATAAGTATATGTGTATAATGTAATTGCGATCAGCTAGTTTAGTTTTAGTTTTAGCTTTAGTTTTAGCTCAGTAGTCTTGCCTAACGTATATAAGTTATGATGCAGTTATGTACACATGGGCGTTGCAGTTTTTAGTTTACAGTTTACAAGTTTGTAGTCATTAATTTGTCGCAACAGAAATGCACTTTGTCAGTTCCAAGGAAAGCAGCCATATCTTCGCCAGCATGCGCCCTCTCGCTCTTTTTCAGTTTGGCGCCGCCGCTTATTTACAGAGGGAAGAAAGGTTTTAGGTGTGTTTTGTCGTGTGTTAAACATATACATATATCTATATATATATTTAGTTATAGATCACTTCGAAGAGGCTTTGGCTGCGCAGGGATAAGTACAGGTACAGCCTGACCGCTTAGATGTTGCCGGCACTGCCAAAGAATTGAAAATTGTTAAAGTTGACCGGCGTCTTCGGGCTGGGCAGGTACAGGAAATCATCGTTCTGCAGCTGGGACTGCGTAAGGTTTGGCTCACTGGCACTGCAATGGATCTTGGGCAGCGTTCGCAGCATATTCTCCAACATGTTGAGCAGCGGCCGGAATAGCGGACGATCCTTGGTCGTATACTTGATGCAGTCCTCGGCCAGACGCTTGAGAGCCTGTGGTGCATCCGAACGCACTTGGCTCATGTCGGGGCGTAATAGACCACGTCCCACCATAAACAGAATCTGATCCTTATTGCTGATATGGCCATAGGGCAGGCATTCCGCCAGCAGTTCGTACATCACAATGCCAAAGGCATACACATCCGATTGGAAGGAGTACGGGTTCAGCTCCTGCATGCGTATCACCTCCGGTGCCATCCACAGAATACTGCCCGTCGGCTGATTAGCCTGCTTTTCGCCAGACCAACGAGTCTTGGCGGTGGCCAGACCGAAATCTCCAATCTTCACCGACAGATCCTCGTGCAGGAAAATGTTGTTTGACTTCAGGTCTCTGTCAAAGGGGAAGAGAAGAATGTAAGTATTCCCTTTAAATGGTTCACATTTTTGTCTTCGCTAATCACTCACCTGTGTATTATGTTCTTGGCATGCAGATAATCCATGCCCTGGGCCACCTGGCGACCGATATCGATGAGCGTATTCAGATTGAACTTTGTCTCGCTGACATGGACGTGCTTATAGAGGCTGCTGCCCTCGCACCACTGCGTCACAATGGCCAGCGAGGGTTTGGATACGCAGCCCATGAACAGAAGGATGTTGCAATGGCGCGTCTTTTTCAGCATGGCCACCTCGTTCTTGAAGGCCTGCAGCTGGGCCAGGCTGGGCGTCTTAACGTTCAGCGTTTTGACCGCCACAGGACCATGCCAGTGGGCGCGATAGACGGTACCAAAAGAACCAGAGCCAATGCGTGGGCCAATCAATATCTCCTCCGCTTGGATGTTCTGCAGGGAACAAAGCAGAATTATTAATGAAACAATTGAATAAGTGATTGACTCTTGAATTCCCCTAGCTTACCCAGTTCTCCTCGGAGCTCTTGGCATCCCGGGAGAGCAGATTCTTGTTGCTCTCATCGGCGGACCTGGCTCGCGGTCGATTGTGCTTCAGCGTGCTGGTGGGCGAGGCCTGTGTGGAGTTGGAATGATCCGTGCAGGGATGCTGTAACGAAGAGAAGGAAATTAATACGTTGAAGCTGGGAGCAGGGCAATGAATTATCTTAAACTCTCACCGGCAACGGGGGCCTGGCCTGCATGATGAGGCTACGTTGCACATCGCTGGGCACCGAGCGTATATTGTTGATGCAAACATTCGGCGCCGAATTGGAGCGATCATCCTGGCTGATGCGCGGCGGCCGACCCTGTCGATGGTTGGAGGCGGAGGATGAGGAAGGGGGTTTTGAGTTGCTGCTGCTGCTGCCGCTGCTGCTACACCGCCGGCTGCGGCTGCGGCTACTCACGTTGAAGCGTACGGCAGTGCCGCGGCCGGGGAAGCCCACACCGTTGTCCGGATTCTCGGCCAGCAGCAGCTGATAGTAGCTATCCATTGGGAAGGGCTGGCACAGCATTGGCACTCTGCCAGCGCATCGCTGATGGAACCGAAAGTTGCACTGGCTGCAATAGAAGCCCGTGAAGAGCAGCCGACGGCAGCCCTCGCAAAAGACCAGCGAAAAGAACGTCTTCCGGATGAACTGATGCTGCGTGTGCGTTCGTATTGGGAACTTCTCCAGCAGCCGCACGAAGATCTCCTCCACATGCAGTGTTCCGATATCCGTGTGCCACGGTATGATATGTCGTCCGCTATGCGTGGTGCTCACCTCGCACATATCCGGCGTCAGTTGGCGCAGCTTCAGGGCCTTCATTAATGCATCGCACAGCCGGACGCCGGCCACCACCTCGACGGAGGTGCGCTGCTGATTGGGCAAATGGGCGCGCAGCAGGATCTTGGGCTGGCGGGTGAGAGTGCCACACTGGCTGGCCGGATTGGAGCCGCCCAGGCCGGAATCAGTGAGATCAGTGCCACCGCCGCCGCCGACGCCGCCATGGATGCGAGCCAACTGACGCTGCTGCTGCAGTATTTGCGTTTGGTTTTGATAATGCGGCTGCTCGGCCGCCGTTTCCTCTGGCGTCTCATGCGGCTGCTGCTGCTGCTGCTGCAAAGCATTGAGCTGCTCCATTAGCTCATGCTCCTTGGCCTCCAGCTCGTGCAGCTTGGAGGTAAGCTCCTGGTATTCGGTTAAGTACATGGCCGGCGGCTCTTGCAGATTGGCAAATTTGGCATTCAAAGCATCGATGTTCTCGCGGGTGACATGCTTGACCAGCTGCACATTGTGCAGCTCCTCGGCCAGCGGATCATACAACTCGCTGTCGCTCTCCGCCGATGAATCGCTGGACATGATTGCTATTGCTGTCGCTGTCGCTGCAGCTGCTGCCGCTGGTGGAGATGGAAGGTGAATATGGAGCTGGAGCTGCTACTGGTGGCCTATGAGGATGCACCAACTGATGCGACCATGACCCTGAAAATGCCAATGCCAATCGCTATACGAAAGCGTATCCGTATCCGTATCCAAATCCTTGACTCTTCGTGCGCTTGCGTTTTAATGGAGTTCAATGTCGAGGAGCCACCCACCAGCCGCTTTCTTGTGGGCGGGGGCAGCATGTCGTCCTTGCAACCGCTGGGCTTTCCTCAGTTTCCTTCTTTCTTCTTGTTTTCAGTTTTTTCTTCTTGTTTTTACACACAATTTTCTTCCTTTTTCGTTTTTTTTCACCTTTTTTCCAGTGCACCTACACACTCACACCCACACCACCTGCCTACACACACACACACACACACACGCACGCACGCACTGGTACGCACGCTTAGGTATGTACATATATTATTTAATGCGAAGGTCGCGCGCTGCCCGGCCCTCTCCTGACCCCGCACTCACAGGAAGCTGTGAAAGTGTCGTCCTGCCGCAGGTTGAGCTGTACGGTAAAGTGGCGTCCAGGGCAACAATCCAGAATCTGGCGTCCGTACTGGACGCTGTGCTGCGCTGTGTGTGTCGGGCGGCAGCTCTCGAAACGGGACGCGGAGGACGAAGGAGCCGTTTTGGCCAGAAGTTGAGGAATTTGTTTAATGCGCAGCAGTGTGGCCAGCTTAGCTTACTTCTGGCTATTTCTGGTATATTTGGTATATGGAAAGCTTATGAAGCTAGTTTATAGCCAAAAGATAGCTTGTTTTAGTATTTATCTAGCTTATTGTTGTTTTGTCTATACAAAATTCTTGTTAAGAAATATACTATATATATCTCATATTAATGTGAAATTATCACCTCTACCCAGCAGAAACAATAGAGTAGATAATTTATTTGTTCCTGTAATTTAACATTCCCATGTTTAGATTAACATTTCACATTTTAAACTTGTACATAACCATTTTACACGTTTACATTTACATGAAGTAAAACTCCCAATTAGGAAGTAAAATGCTTTATCAGAGCCGCTCTCATATATCCCTCTCATTGGTTGTCGGAGTAAGCATAAGTTAACAGAATTTTCCCGACTCTTGAGAGCGCAAGCCGTGATGCCGCTTTATTTATTTTCCTCTAGGTCTAACGCTTTCTAGGTCTAACGAATCTGGCGTAATTTGAGCTTTTTTGCAGAATCTAGCTAATACGGAGAATTAGCGAACTGACGATAAAAGTGGCCAGAAAGCACTATCGATACCATCGATAGGCGTGATAGGGATGCCGTACCGGTCGGATTGAGGGTCTATCGATTGCTTATCGGCGAACGGTTTGAAAGGTTTTGTTTATTTAATTTTATTTATTCGATTTTGGCTGATTTTGCTTTGTTTGAATAAATTTAAGGTATATATTTAATGGAATTGCAATTGTCGGCTTTATTTTAACTCAAATAAATTGACAAACGAGAAGGGCAGCAAGTAGTTTTTACCTTTTCTGTTTAATGCATTTATTATTTATTAATATTACTACAAGTTTATGTTATTAGTGAACAATATTTGTAATATTTATTCAGTACAAGCGGTTGACTAAGGTATATAAAACATAAAGGAACTTTAGCTTGCAAAAAAAGGTATTAAGAAAAAACAAAGAAATCTAATATAAATTCGAGAAAAAACTTGCTCTCAAAAGAGAGAAAATAAAGTTTATAATACAAATAATGCGACCTTAACAACTATAGTTTACAAAACGGTGAAAAAATTCACAAATACTTTCATAAAACTGAACATTATTGATCCTGCAATTTTTACAAAAATAAATTGCCTTTAAAACATAATTAAATACCAAAAAAATAAACATAAAAAACATATTTTCCAAGAAATATAAAAAATTTAGATTCCTGTTTCTATCTTCCCTTAAAAAACCTTGCTGTTTGGGCTTGAACTGCCCCGAAACCGCCCTTCCCGGCGGCCGCCTCCACAATGTGACGGGCTATCCATTCCGGCAGCTTGCCCCGTATCCTGGGACTAGCGTAACGCTCATCCAGCAGGTAGACGCAGGCATAGTCCCTGATGTGGCGAACGGCTCGTCCGATGCATTGATTCACCGCCTTCATGCAGAGATTCTTGTAGAATTCGTTGCCAGAGCCGGGGCCCAGCTTCTCGTCCAGATGCCGCATGCGCTGCTCCAGCTCCGGCGACTGACGGTTGGGATAGGGCAGACCCACAACCAGAACGGCTCGGCCGAGATCATCGGCAAAGTTCAATCCCTCGGAGAGTTTGCCACCAACCACACTGAGAAGTAGAGCTCCCGACAATCCCGTTGATTCCGAAGATTCCTTAATGGCCTTGGCATACTTCTCCAGCAGCTGATCCGCCGATCCGGAGACCTCCCGAAAGACAGTCTTTTTGCGTAAAATTCTCTCCAGGCTGCCCGATTGCTCTAGATGCTTGTGGACCTTGTCCAGATAGTCATAGGAGGGCAGAAACAAACCACACCGCCTGGTATCACCTGGCAGAGATTCTGAAGCACCATGGCCAGCTCCTGAAGCTGCAAAAGATCGATTGAAGATGAATACAGCAAGAGAGCAAGTATGCCAGGTTCACTCACCATCTCCGCACTTCCTCGCTGGGCAAAGTTAAAGCGCAGGGGAGCACCCTTGGGGCCGTTGGGTATCACAAAGGGTAATACTGCATCATCGGGCACCACATGGCTGTAGAAACGCTCCACCAAACGATCCTGGCAAGTGGCAAACAGCTGCTCCTTCAGCTCCTGAGTGGGCTGCATGGTGCCACCAGCAATCACAATCTGTGCGGGGAATCAGTAAGGATTAATCAGTTATGGATTAATTTAAAGCAAACTTACTGCTCTGGCATCTTGGAGGATCTCGGCAAATTGCTCAGCGGGATCCAGGAGCAAATACTTAAAGGTTCCTCCCTGAGGATCAAGCAGTATCCTACCATCCGCCGCATCGCTGGTGAGTGTCTCAAGAAAGGCCAAGCAAGGTCTAATCGGCGAGGGAGCCACTTCCAGCAGGGGCTTCACTGTGGGCTCCTTCTTCTCCCCTGCAGGTTCCTGCATATCCTCCAGTTTCCTCTTGCCCTGCTTGGGCTTCTCCTTCTCCTCGTGCTCCTTGGTCAATCGCTGGAGTATTAGACTTCGCGCCGATGGCGGTTGATTCTCGCTGGGCTGCGGCTCCCTTTGCATCCTGGCCGCATTGCCCTGCACCTTGCGTGCGAAACGGGTACGCGCACAGAACTCCAATAGCTCGTGGAGATCAATGTTAAAGAAGTCACTCTCGGCGGTCAGTTCGTAGGTACGCAGCATCCTCGAGGACTCAGCTTGCTCCAGAATTTTCAGCAGCCGCTTGACTATGAAGATGAGCTGGTTGATCTTTAAGAGATTCCTGGTGCTGAAACGCTTTTGAAACTGCTCCTTGTAGGCAGAGATCTCGGTCCGGGCCCTTTCCAGCTGCTGTTTGTTGATCTCGGCGCCATGTAGCTGTGCCAAACTATCGAGGAGATTGTGTGCCTCGTCCACAACAAGAACGCTTCCCTTGAGATTGATGCCCAGCTGCTGGCGGGCGGATTTCTGAAGCAGCAGCTGATACGGCAGCAATATAAGCTGGGCCTGATCCAGTGCAGCTCGGGAGGCATAGTACGAGCAGGCCCCACATGCTGCACCCTCCGTGGCCAATTCCTCAATGTCCAGGGGCTCACTGAGGGCCAAGTCCTTGAGGGAGTCCACCAGAGATTGCGTCTTCAACGGACATCTGCCTTGGCTGGGTGCTTCTGCTTCGCTAAGGCGACTTTTCTTGCTGGGATTCGCTTGGGATTTCTTCTGGGTGGCCATCTCCAAGCAGCGCTCGTTCATCAGCCCAACCTGCTTCAGACGCCGCACCTGGGGGTTGCCGCACAGCTGCTGGCGAGAGCCCAGGGAGATGCATCTCACCCACTTGCCATGCGGGGTCTTGCGCAGCTCTGAAACTATTTGCGCCAGCTGCGAGTGCGTGCGACTGCAGAAAAATATCTGTACGGGACGATACCGATCCTCCGAGGGCTCCTCGGTGCTATCGGCAGTCTCATGCTCTCCATCCGAGTCGGAATCAGAGGCCGGCTCCTCCTCCTTCGCTTCCTCCACCTTCGGCCTAGACTCTCGGCTCTTCTGCTTTTTCCTGCTCTTCACACGCTCTCTCATCTCCGCCAGCTGCTGTTCTCGCTTCTCCAGCAGTCCCCGTACGTGTTGCAGCTTCTGAAGCTCCTCCCGCTGTAGTCGGGACTTACCCTGAGCCTCCAGCCAGTCGGTCGCCCGCTCGCCTTCCGTCTGCAACTTTTCCAGCTCCTGTTCGACGGCAACGATCCTCGCCAGCATTTCGGACTTTACCAAGGACTCGTGTCGCTCCAGCCAGGTGAGGGCACCGCAGGTGAGGGTCAGGGACTTGCCGGTGCCTGTGGGACTCTCAAATATGCCCACCTGACCATTTTCCAACACCCGGAAGAGTTCCTGCATCAGCTGCTCCTGGATTTCGTACGGAGTGTGCGGGAACCCGAACTCGTGGGCGGCCGGCGTGGCCAGCGCCTGGCGGGGCGTGTATTGCGCCATCTTCAGCCTACAAAACAATTAATAAACATTTTTCCTGAGGGCACGAAAAGCGGGAAAACAAAACGACGCGCCCAAGCAGCAGAGAATCAACAACAACAGGTTGACAGTAAAAACGGCCTAACGCGTTGGCGATGCGGTATTGCTTAGCGAAGGCACTTTGAGGTGCGGAACATGGCTAAACTTCAATTGAACAAACTTATTTATTTAATTATTTCACAATATTAACAATTATTTCAGATGTACAACATATTAAATTTGATATAGCTTTTTTATTAAAAAGAAACAACAAACCTATTACACATGTAATTAAATAAAAATAATCGATAACAGTTCATTTAGCCGATGATTACACGACTCACTAACGCCTTTTGCTTGGTACTAAAAATCGCGAATTCTGTAATGGCGCCAAACCTCATAGTGGAAAAAAAAACTTGTTGCCGGTGAGAGAGAAAAAAGTGCAAAATTTGTGAACAATCTGTGATTCTGGAAACCTGGCCTGCGGGGTGAGTAATAACTGAGCTATATGCAAATCGAGTGCTGCACTCGCTTAGTAATGCGCGAAGAAACATCAAAGCTTGATTGATTGCCAATTAGTCATGTGCGCTATTAATTTGCTGTAGATGCTAAATCTTGCTCCACCCCCTCTCCCATGTTCGGCTGCTCTGGCAAGATGGCGACCGCTTAAATTTCGATTTCAATGCGAATTTCGAGGGGATTTGAGCCGTGTTAAGATCGCAAATTGCAATTAATAACGCCATTGTGTGGGCGGCTAATGCATGTGCGGCATTAGCATGTATTTTGACCTCAGGCTACAGCAGGCTGCTAATTGCAAACAAATTTGAGGCTTCTCGGTTCCAATGGGAATCCTTGCCGTCTCTTTGCTGTGTCTTTCTTTTCTTGTGTAGGAGTGAGAGGGTCAGCTATATGTTGCGGGTCCAAGTTAACGGGATAAGTCATTTCGCTGATTTTTGTTGTATTTCTGGTAAAGACGGGAAAGAGGCAGCTATAACTGATCCTGTTAGGTGTGTACAATGGGGAAAACAGTGCAAATACTGACTTTTAATTGAAGACTTATTTTTGCCCACTGTATATAACATATTTATTTTTTCATATCATTATTTTAAATGTTTTCAGGTACATTCATATATATTTGTAGGTGCAACAATTGCTGCACCTGACTTATTGTTGCATATCTTAATAGTTTTTGTTTAAATTTATGGGCTGCTCTGTTGTGTGTGCGTCAAATGCAGACACATAAATCAAGCGCCCAAGAGAAGGCGGATTAATGCGTAAACGACCTTGGCGGTGAAAATTAGCTTGTGATTAGCTTGGGTTAAAAATATTCATCTAAATGTTTTTATGTGTTTTTGTGTTAATTGCATTGCAATGAATATTTTTATAGCCTTGCAGGGACTTATTAACGGAGTCAGAAGCTTCAAACTCTATGAAGGAGTCATTTCCGACCCTATAAACCATATATATTCTTGATCAGCATCAACAGGGGAATCGATTAAGCCATCTAACACAAAATAAAATTTTAAAATTTTTTTTAGGGGTTAACATTGACAAAAAAAAATTACAAATTTTTTTAATTGTTTTACATTTTTATTTGAGTATGCATATTTATTAACCTAGTCGAAACTAGCATTGGGCAACTTTCCGAGTTTAATTTAATGCTTTTTTGGCTGATTTAGGACTGTTTAAAACTTGTCAATTGACATATAAAAATAAGGATTCAAACAATGCGAATATTTTAAGCTTATTAATGAACGATTTTGCATTCGGTTTTGGATTTTGGTCTCCTCAAGTTAGTTTTTTTGTTAGATCAAGTAATGTATATTATTAGATAATAGATATTCTGAATATTCGTTATTAAGTGCCTGGAATATAATTTTTAAATTCCCCTAAACTTTCTAAAACTTCTTTTGTACCCTAATCTCATCTTAATCTTTATAGTCAAGGCCAGTTTCTGGAATATCCCTTTATTTGTAGTGATATTCAGTTGGAAATTCTCACTTAAACCATGGCTGAATTTTATCTTTCTTAAGATTTTAAACTTATATAAATTATGTATTTAAATCTGGACATTATGTCAATAGATCTAGACTTTATAGAACATTTTTTAACAACAAACATAACTATTTGGAACCGCACCCAGCTAATTAAGTTGACAATGCCTTGGTGTCGAGCTGCCTTGCACTCGACCTGACCGCTGTGCAGTCCGTTCTTGACCAGGCCACGCCCGTCCTCCTGCCCCGTGCCCCCGTGTTCCCACATTCGGTTTGAGTCCCGCTCCCTGACCTTCTAAGCCAACTGAGTCATGGGACTTTTTCCCCCAGCGATCTGTAGGGGGACCTTGGCAGACAGCGAGTCGGCGTGGTGGTTGAGCGATTGAAATTGCTAATCTCGGAGCCTTTGCCCGAAGACATTTCCCATTTATCACAATCGCACTTGTGCTTGGTGCTTGGTGCCTGTGCCTGTGCCTGTGCCTGTACTGCTTTTCGGTGGCATAATTTTTCACTTAACGCACGGCTATAAATACCCATGCTGCAACACATGTAAGACTCTATCTAAATACAAATACAGGTACAAATACACCTGTGTGTGATTGCTAATAGTTACCTCAATGATAATGCTTTCTGTTGATTATTTATGACCGATATTTTATGCGATTAAGTGCCATAATTTATCAAAAGCTGTGCTCTGTCGATTGCCTTTACTTTGATTTCCATATGGGCACAGATTTCTGCTATATTTTTTTTGATATTTATGTAGGTTCTTTACTATTTTAAATTATATTAAAGAAGGTCGTTCTAATTTGAAGTTTTATTTGTAACAAGAAAGGAAGCTAACTTCGGCACGCCGAAGTTTGTATACCATGCAGATTGAAATTCGATCACTAAGAATTAATACAATATAAATTATATATAATTATGTTAAAAAACAAAGTAATGCCTGCTTTCATTTCATTCACCTATACATTTTATATTAACTGTTTTACATCAACCGTTTTGCATTTTCCTCTATTTGTAACTGTCGTTTGTATGGCAGCTACACGTATGATATAATAGTTCGCTTTTCATAAAATTGTACACAATATTTTAGATTAATTTATAATGGCTATATATCAAATTTGATGAAAATCTGTTGAAAACTAGAAAAGTTATAATTATTTTTATAATTTTCCGACCGTTCCTATGGCAGCTATATATATGTATGTATATAAGTATATACATATATCCTTCGCATATCCCTATATAGTATAGTATATATAATTTGCATATATGTACACGTATTGGCCACTGGAGGGAGTCGTGTTATTCCCTGGCCCTTAAACTCGCCGTAATTGTAACTCTAACACCACATTTTTGCAAAAGCATCTTGGTATAATAAATTAGCATCGCGTTTCGCATTATTGACTGGATTTTGAATAATAACACACAAAGGACCCTTTTCGACCCGAGGATAAAGAAGGTGCCGGTATCCCCCTGTATCCGCAGGGATCCACATGTAACTGTAGACCGGCGACAAATGGAGAATTCCCCCAGAAACAGCAGCAAAAAAAGGCAGCAAGTGAACAGTACTAAACACTGAAAGAAATGAGTCCTAAAATATCTCTAATCAAGATATATTAAATCCATATTTTAAATGATTATTTTTGTGGGTAAATCATAGGTTTGCAAATAACATAACTAAGCCAAAAATGCTTTAATTTCAATTCGGTAAACTAATCTGTGTTAGTTTTTAAAGGGTTAACAAATCTGCGTATTAAATTTTAATATTTGAAAAATTCAATTTTTTGTTAATTTTTTTGATAATTTTAACGATGTATCCCCTTATAAAATTTTGAAAAAATTTCAAAAATTTATTTTTCTCCCGGACATGGCTAGATCGATTCAGGTTTTCATGCTGATCAAGAATATATATGATTAATAGGGTCGGAAATGACTCCTTCATTGAGTTTCAAGCTTCGGACTAAAATTATAATACCCTGAAAAGGTAATATAGCAAAAGTACACGTTTGTATCTTAAATACAAATTGCTGCATCACTTTAAATTAAAAATTAGTAATAGGGTCCATGGCAAGAAAGGGAATATTTGGTAAAATAATGCATAGTTACCATAGGTGAGTGAAGACTTGGGCCTGTTTCCTCCTCAAGCATCCTTATAATTAATATAATTGTCATTGTTAAGACTTACCGCAGTAGATGGGACACGTCATTGTTTAATTCCTTCCAGTGCAAAGGTATATTCATGGTGGCATCAATTAAGCTTGTCATGGTGTCATCAAAACAAGCACTTCCTGTTTATCCAGAAGATGTGAATTGGCCACGTCATATTTTTGGAGTCGATGGGTAATCACGATCACTATCACTCGAGATGTTACCACTGGAGGCGCCACGGACCGACTGAGGTGCGCAAGGCGGCAGAGCCCTGTATTTATACTTTTTGAGCAAAGAGAATAGAGAAAGTGTGAGCGAGAGCGAGAGGCAGAGGCATCTATGGAGGAGGCAAGCAATGAGAGAGATGGAGCGGCCTCACTGGCCTCACCCACCCCTTTCTCTGGAGAACTCTCTATGTGTCTCAGTGCTTGCCTCCACAGATGCCTCTTTGCCTCTTGCTCTTACCTGCTCTATTCTCTATAAATACCGGGCTCTGCCGCCTTGCGGCCCTTAGTCTGTCCGTGGCATCTCCAGTGTTAACATCTCGAGTGATAGTGATCGTGATTACCAATCGACTCCAAAAATATGACGTGGCCAATGCAAAACAAATGGATAAACAGGAAGTGCTTGTTTTGATGACACCATGACAAGCTTTATTGCCACCACTGGCCGATTCGGCATGCTCAGATATATATACTAGTATAATTATATAGAAGATTAACCCCATAGGTTCATGCTCTTAAATTTGTTCCAAAACGTATCTCGCACATCTGTGCATATGATTCCCAACTAGTTCTAACATCCCCGGAACGAAGTGGCTGCTGCCGGCCAAGTCCCAGATATGTGTTGTGTTACAAAAGTTGCAAGTCATTGTTTATTAGTGTTCAAAGTTACTAACTGATCATACATACTTACTGTTTATTGATACTTACTGATCATAGTTTCTTATTGGCCATAGATACTTACACATCCTTTACATTTAACAACCGTGTTTCTGGCAGTTATATTATATAGTATTCCAATTTTATAAAATTAAAAACGAAATTTCAGAATAATAAAAGATAGCTTTGAATCAAATTAGATAAAAATATGTTAAAAACAATAAAAGTTTTAATATTTTTCTAAAAATGTTGACTGCTACGTTGCAAACTTCTGACTGAAGGGGTATAAAAATTCCAGAGATTTCTACAGATCCAAGTAGACCCTGATTTCTCACTCCCTATTGGATTGTCCATTGTCACTTGTGTTGGGTGCTATTTTTCAGTCGCTTTTGTGAAACTATTGTCGACTAAAGCAAGGAAAATTATAGAAATTTATTGGAAAAAATGTATTTCGATAACCTTTTGGGCGATGAAAACGAAGAAGAGGTGGTGTATTTAAATCTTAGACAAAAGCTTACAAAGCGTATCATTAAGAAGGCGCCCAATAATGCTATTAAACCCAAAATTGGATCTCTGGTGACTATCAATCTAGTTGGGATAGTTGAACCTAATATTAAAGTGGAAGACCTGAGGAGTTTCCAGTGTCATCTCGGTGACTATGAGGTTGTCGATGGCCTGGAAAGGATCCTCCCCTCGATGAAGGTGGGCGAAATAGCAAGTGTGTCAATGGATTCCGACTTTGCTTATGGTATCTACGGACTGCAGGATAGTGCCTACTTTACTAACGATTTCCTAGTTCCGCCCTATTCGCCTATTTCCTATGGTATAGAGCTTGTAGCTATAAAAACCGAAGAATCAAAGGATTTAGAAGACGATGAATTACTCTGTACTTATGTTGCTCGCAAGAAGGCTCGTTGCGACTTTTGGCTCATACGCTTGGAGTTCAAGAAAGCTATCCATCTGTTCAAACGTGCTAGGACATATCTACTTAAAATCAAGGACGAAGGGAAAGCTAAAGCTCTTATGCAACGTCTGGCTCTAAACTGTGACCTTGGCTCCTATATGAAATGTCGTGTTGTGAGAGTTTTTAATGCAGCTCTGATAGAGGTTGAAAGTGTCCTAAGTTTGGAGCCGGACAATACAGATGCTTTATTTCGTAAGGCAAAAATACTAAAATGTGTGGGTAATACAACGTGCGCTTTGGATATAATGATTAGAGTGACCGAGCTTGATCCAGAACATCAGGATGCTGCAGCAGAAGTTTCCGAACTCAAATACACCGAAGCTTTTGAGAACTACAGAGGTTCGCATCAAAACGTATCTGGCTTCAATATACGCCGTCCAATTATTTGGTTCATGGTAACCAATGTCATCTTGTGGATTTATTTTATCACTAACAAAGTACTAAACATTTTTACAAAGACCCGTTGAAGAGCTGTTTCTGCTGTTGCATTAATAAATTATATATCTGAGCATTAATATTATTGAGATCTACCAGGTTAATGCTGACAATCTTGAGTTTATCTATTACAGTAACACTGCCAGGGTGACATCTCGCCCAGGGGGCTTGTCCCACGAGAAATCATCATCATCATAATCACCGGTGATTGCACCCACATCGTGTGTCCAGTACATGTGACTCCCATCCGTTGTCCCATGGTGTCTCGGTGACCCAATCTATGACACATACACTGCATTGAGAAGGATTTTGTTCGGTGTTTTTCGTTCTTTTATTACTGTTATGACATTCAATAAGCAATTAGGCATTAATCACAGCCGGGGGCAGCATTAATCACCATAGCCCGGCCAGCTAGAAGCTTGGAGCTCGGAGCTTGGAGCGTCGAAAAGCGAGCCTTCAACTTATGCATATTAGCGGAGAGCTGGAGCTGCTGCTATTGGCTTCTATCCACAAATAGTTGGCGACACGACTCAAATAGAGACGGAATCCCGCTTGCAAGACACACAGCAGCGACATGATGTCACCGCCTGTTTATAGCCAAAGCCCGTCAGCGATGCAGATTGGATCTGAAATCGGACGGGGAGTGGAGTGGAGTGCTGGGATAGGATCGGATTGGTTTGGTTTGGATCGGTAGAACAGATTGTCCCACGCCCACGCCGAGACACGCGCCTAGAACGCAAGCGCACAAGCTCACAAGCGAGTCGAAAGATCTCAAGGAAACGAAGTTTGGAATACCCTGTATCAAGAATTCTTTAAACGAAATTCATGAAGATCCTTGAGGATCCTACCTTGGACCATTTATCATAAATGTATCATGGATGTTAAAATAATATCAAACCTATGACGAAGTTTGAAAAACTCTGTACATGAAGAAAAAATGTCTAAGGATCCTTGATGATCCTACCTTGGATTTCACACTGCATTAATGGAACACCCTGCGATTCATCATACATGCAATGCATTTCAAGATAATACCAAACCTATAACCCCCTTTATTTAAAATAATTAAAGGGTACAGTTGCCGAGGCAGGTCAGGTTGTTGTTGATTCAGCTTTTGCCCCCGGGGCCCGTCGTATGAGGTCCAAGATCGATGAGCGATCATCAAGCAATCAGGCTAATGCATAACCAAAAGCAAACTCGGTGGGTTATATTATTTTGGATATTAAACTTTAATTTTATTGTAGTTCTTTTAGAGTGTGATCGGTTTTGTAATCGGATCGGAGATGGTTTACAGAGACAGTTTTAGAGATACGGATGGCGGATACAGCGAGCTTTAGAGACACGGATACAGATACGGCGGTTGATGATGGGATATGAGTGGAGTTAACAATATATATATCGACTATCAATTGGACATAGATTGGATTGGACTTGATTTTCTGCTGTTTTGTTGTTCCTTTTGCTTGCTTGGCTTTCACATATAGTCTAGACATATTTATCGTATAGTTTTGCTCTGGTCAAAATTATACAAATAACATCTTGGGGGACTCGCGCGCTCTCTCAACACATTCGACACATTTCTTAATATTTTCTTACAATTGTTTCTTTTTTTTGTTTTGTTTTTAGCACAGTTTGTGGGAGTTTTCTTTTGTTTGTTTTTGCTGCTTGCTCTTGCGGTCGTGGACATACACACACATTTATAGATCTTTAACTTTATCAATATCTTGTAATTTAATTTAGCAAATATACATGGATATATATATAATAGGGCTCTATATAACTATACAATTAAAAAGGCCTTTTGAAGGTGCGTTTTTTAGATTTTGCGGTCAGTTTTTCTTCTGCCTGCAGCTGAGTGATCGATTTTTTCTTTCGTGTGTTTAGACATTAAGCAACCCTGATCTATCGGTATTTATCAGTTGATCGTTAATCGTTACATTACATTGTCCAGGTACTTTTGTAGCGCATTTCTGTTCAAATTGAAACAAACTTTGTGTAGTTATTGTAGCCTAAAACTAAAGCTAAAAATGAGGGGTCAGTAAGAGGTCCTTTTCCGTCCCGTTTCAAGGTCAAAGTGGTATCGTCCAGTGGTCAAGAATGTGCGGGAAGGGGAAATGCAGAGGCACCATAAGTCCTGAATGGTTTGATCAATGAATGGATATGGATGGTTGTTATATGGTGTTTCCGATGACGTTGTTCTACTTCTACGATGCTCTATTTTATAATATATATCCTCGCACAGCTGCAGCCAGAAGCGAAGAAACCCACAAAACCCAAAAAACTAGAAACTCAAACTCGACTCTTTTGTGTTTTTTTTAGGCCATATTTATATAGATATATATATATATTAGAGAATATTAATCGAAAACAAACAAAACAAATCGCGAAATAATCGATTACAAATATTAAACAAAAATGTACAAGCGAGAGAACTTTTGCTTCTTAATATTTCTTCTTTTTTTTTTAACTTGTTCCTCGCTTTTGTAGGGTATTAACATATGGAGTTTTGATTGCATTTTGCCATTTTTACAATTTATGGTTTTACAGTTAACATTTACAGTTACGAATTACATTTAACATCGAATGTGGTGGCAACCCTGGTGCAGCTTGCTTCAATCCTGACCTGACCTGAGTGTTTGAAACTTGTTAAAGTTTTCTTATTTTTTGTGATTTTTATGTTGTTTTGGTTGGAAGCTGAACGTAATATCAATTGTCGGCGAAATGGAAGTCATTCTGCTTTAAAATTCTCCAGAGTTGCCACTTGTGTGTGTGTGTGTGTGTGTGTGCGAGTGTGTGAGGTAAACTTTTGCTTAATGCTTAAGGCTCAAATACAATTTTAATTTTGAAAGATTTTCCATCTCAAGTGGACACAGAGAGTTTTTCTTGTATGCTTAAAATTCCTATTCAGGGGCAAATAGGCAGGCATTTTTGTGGGTGTGTGTGTGTGTGGGGGGAGGGGGTATACATAGTGTGTGTGTGTGTGGTACATCTAGAAAAAGGCGGTGCTCTGGGGAGGGGCTTTAAGAGCTGGTATCGGTATATCGTTTATATGTTATAAATAGTTACTTTTGCGTATTTAACATAGTTATAATTTATCGATTATCATTTATCGTTATCGTTGGTTATCTCTTTAGTACAAATCGAGGCAATTATCATTACAATTACGAAACAATTTCAAAAGCACTTGTGTTGGTGATGGGGAATTCATTTTGTTTTTTTGTTGGGGTATGATCTTTTAGGCCACTTTTTGGTGTTCACAGCTGTTTATACACACACATGTTTTTGTTTTTGTATATATATAATTGTTATATCCGTGTATAAGTATGTTTTTATATATATAAATGAACTCTGCTTCAACTCGTTGATCAAGCAATAGACACACAAATATATATATATATAATGTTTGCTTCTTCGTTTTTTAGTATATATATAATTTTTAAACTTCTCGTACCATCCATGTATACATATATAATATAAATTACAAAAGTTGTTCATCATTTTTTTTTGTTTTTAACTGTAATAAGGCGCAAGTTGAAAGGAGTTGCAAAGTTTCAATTTTTTTAGCAGCACTTTAAGGTCTTCGATTCCACCGAAAATACATATAATATATCTTCTCTCTTTTCCCTTCTTGTATATATATAGATTGTTTAATTTTGTTGTTTTTGTATATGTAGATTAGTTGTTTTTTTTTTGCAAAAGAATTAACAAAGTGTAGATTAGTAATTTAGTTTTAGTTGTCAATTGAAATTTTTTTTTTTTTGTTTTTCTCATTTTTGATTAAGGCAACAGCTTACACAAGTTTTTATCGCTTATCATTTAAACATAGCTTACAAATTATGGACACGAAAAAAAAAAACAAAAATTCATACATGTATTTTGTTTATATATATAGTATATATACGGGTTTATCACTGACTAAGCCTAGGATTTAGAAAAAAATATCAAACGTCATCATATATCGCATATATCAACTTGAAATTCTCCTCTCTCTCTCTCTCTAATCTCTCTCTTGTTTTTATTTTAACACACATAAGCATATATAGTAGTAGTTATCATTATTTTTAAGGCTTCGTTGGGTGGAGCAAAGAGCAAACAAAAAATACGTTACGCATAGAAAAGAATTGAACAAATTAAAATTAATAATTACTGATGCGGATGTGACTGCACGCAGTTGATCACTGCGCTCTCTCCCTCTCTTCTTCCTTTCTTTCATCTCTCTCTCTCGATGCAGGCTTGCAATGGAATGTTATCGATAAATGATATCGTATCAAAAAGTTGGGTTATGTACAGTTGTGCAAGTGCTACTTCTATCTTTCTTTCCTTCTTGTTTTCTTTATATATTTTTTGTGTGCTCTCTTCGTTTGCTTGTTTGTTTTTTTTTTTTTTTTTTTTTGTTTATTGTTAAAACTCTTTAATGATAGTTACTTGTTAATTGTTACTGCTTCTTGCTTCATGAGGTAGTCAAGCCACAGGCTGGATGCCGCTCCAGGCGGACTTGGGATCAGGGGAAAGGGATATACATACATATAGGGTATGGGATTTTGGGTTCGGCGGATGATATTCGAGTGGTCTTGGGATCTTGGGAAAGGGGAAACTAGCTATTGGAAGAACTTGGATTTGTAAGAAATTTAAATATTAAATTATAGCAAAAATTCCTTAAAAGAAGATTACAAAAAAACATCCAAGATTGTGGCAGATTTGTTAAACTTTATAGAAAGTTTTCTAGAATTTATAGAAATTATTTTTGTGGAAGAAATTATTTCTTTGAGGGATGGGATTTTCTTGGGAGGGGATTTGGAGGGATCTTCTTCAGCTTTTCCTGCTTTTGCTTAGTCGATGAGTGGCGGTTAATTTTAAGATTAGATTGTATTTTCTTTTTTTTTTTTTTGTAATTTTTGTTTTTGGGATGATGATGGGTTGATTAAGCCTTAGCACCAGTAGTCTACATGGGCCCAGGCCGGATCCTGCTCCTCGCCCAGCTGCAGCTCCATTTCTAGCTCCAGCTCTACCTGCTGTTGGTCCAACTGTGGACTGGACGACTGTTGTGCCTGCCTCTGATTTCGATCCCTTTGCTGAGTCACCTGCTGGGGTGGCTGCGATTCCTGCTGCTGATGATGATGCTGTTGTTGGTTGTGTGGGGTATGCTGATAATGGCCGGTGGACTGCTCAAAGGCGGGTAGCATCAGGTCACGGTCTCGATCTCGTTCTCGTTCTCGTTCACTTTCCCGTTTCCGTTCTCGATCCCGCTCCCTGTCCGGCGCCCTTCCTCACGCCAGGCAACCGCCATTGGTCATGAATGCCGTGGCTGTATCCAAATTCACATACTCCCCGGCAACGCCATCATCCACCAGCTGTGACAGCAGATCCGATTCATAGCAACCGCTCTTCATGAGCATCAGCTGATGATCCTCATCGTAGCAGGATGTCATGCCCACACCGACGCCGACACCGACGCCAACATTTCCAATACCAATACCAATCCCATTGCCATGCTGCAAACCCTGATGGAAGTCCATCAGATGATTGTTATTATTATTATTGCTGCCGCCGCCATTAACGCCACCGTTGGCGTTGCTGCCGCCACCATTGCTGCCATTGTGATTGCCACCGCCAGTGCCCACATTCGTTGGCACCACACTGGCCATGTTGAGGCCATTGATGCCACATGGCGAGGGTAAAACACTGACTGCATGCTTAATATCTGGAAAACCATCACTTGGCTCGAACAGAAACCGCTCGGCACTCAGGGCTGTGGTATAGGGACTCTGTGAATCCACCAGCTCGTTCTTTACAAACTCAATGGCGCTGCTGCTGGCGGTGAGGCTGGACGTGGTGCTGGTGTTGCTGCTGGTATTGCTGCTGCTGTTGCTGCTACTGACGCTGGTATTGCTGCTTGGATTGTTGTGATTGCTACTGCTCAGGCCATCGCAATTGGGCACATAGTCGGAGAGCAGGCCGGGACTGGGATTTGGCTGATGTTGGTGCTGCTGGTCGATGTTGCTGCTGGCGGGATTCATTGACTGTTGCTGATTGTGTTGCTGCTGCTGCTGTTGCTGCTGTTGCTGCTGGTGCTGCTGGTGCTGCTGATAGCCGGCATGCTCAAACTCTTGGGCACTGGGCGAGGGCTTGCAATAGCCAGTGGGTAGCTGTTGGGCCATTGCGGCTGCCGTTTTGGAGCCAAACTTGAAGGTGGCCATCGATGGTATGCTCTGGACTCGTTGCTGATTGTTGCCACTGCCGTTGCTGCTGCTGCTGATGTTGTTGTTGTTGCCAAGTGATCCCGCTGCCGCATCATCTAGTTCCAGTTCGGCGAGGTACTTGTGAGCTGGGGACTGCGTCAAATGCGTGGGCAACTGACAGCCACCGGAGCGCAGGCATCCATGAGATTCCAGCATATCCGTTAGCTTGCGACGTTCCGTTTCCAGCTGACGCACTTGGTTCTTTAGCTCCACATTCTGCGTGTCCAGCACTTCGGACTCCTTGATCAGATTCTGGGTACGTTCGCGCTTCTTCATCCGGCACTTGGTGGCCGCAATCTTGTTGCGTTCACGGCGTCGTCGCCGGCGATCCTCATCCTCGGGCGTCAGACCCTTTGGCTGGGACTTGGTCTCGCTATCCTCATCACTGGACTCCTCCAGGTCATCGTCATTGGCATTGCTCATGTTGCCGCTATAATGATTGCTACTGCCGCCACTGTGCCCGTTGTGGTTACTGCTGAGACGGGAGCACTTGGAGTGCGGCTGCTCCGATCCGGAGCTGGAGTCGCAGGTGGAGAGCTTGCGTTTGCTCTGAATGGACAGCTTCAGGCCCTCCTTGATCAAGCGAGAGCAGGTCTGTAAGATAATGTAAAGAAAAGTTGGGGTATTGGTAATGGAAAGCGGGATTTTGTATGATTTTATGTTATATATAAGGTTTTTCTTAACATTTTCTTAAAACTTTTCTGTACATATAAGGTTTCTAAAAGAAGTTAGTTCTTAGGCTTATTTTCTATTAGTTTTTCTTTTAGAAAACCCTCTTGGTTAGTGGCCCCTCGAAAAGTGGTTTGTCACCATTGGCCAAAGTTGTTTACTTTCTATTAAATCGCCAAAGAAGGCAATCCAAGTCCACCGACTTGCTGACATTTTCAACATATTTCGAGCTCTTTTGATCGATACTTTTTATAGTTAACTTAGGGATGTATATCGAGAGGTATTGTCATATAGAAAATATCGAATAGAATGGTATATGATATGTATAATATTGAATGTTCGATTAAAATATCAAAATTATTAAGGTAACCTTTCAGAAATAGTATATATTTATAACAAATATATTCTAAACCAAGTTTAAGCTTCACAACAGTCCGATAAATCAATGAAAATATCGATTTATTGCTTATATATCATTGAAAATATCTATTTATAGCACATTTAAGTATCGCTAAATGTAAATATGGATTCATTTATCGATTTTCACCTCAAATAACGATCAAATATGAACAGATTAATATTTCCTCTGCTAGTCAGAATTAAACCCAAAGCCTCTGGGAAATTTCCTTTATTTGTTTTGCACGCTTTTCCCCCAGACCTTGTCACGGTGTCACGTGTCATGTAAGATTATATATCTTTTAACCCAGTGATCCTATTTCCCATCACCTTGTGAGTTTTCCCCCTCAAGGACTGAAAGGTGATGAGTGATGCGTGAGAAGTGAGAGCTCGACACAGTTTCTCGAGAGTTTCGACGCCCTTCAGGGCAGGTAGATATGACGAATCGCAGTCCCGCTTATTTCGATTTCAAGAGGAGATTATCTCCCCATCAGAGCAAGCGGCATTTTTAGCTTTTTGTTTGTTTGTGATTTACTCCAGCGACCTTTTTTCATATTTTCATATTTTCTTATTTTTTTGCGCTTTGACTTAGGGCTTGGCTCTGGAATGGGGCTCAAGTTTTGGGTTTCAGTTGGGTTCGGGTTTGGGTTTGGGGACACACACATACTCGAGGGTTTGCATGAATTATAAATACTATAGATAGAAATCTGCGAGGGACACGCCCAAAAGGGGTGACTCTCTCCCTCTCTTCCCCAGTGGCAAGTGCAACCTCGAAACAACCTCGAGTGAAGCTCCATTTATGGAGATCAGGACGGGAACAGATGGTCATCGTGTTGCACTCCGGCACGTTGTCAACTTTCGTTGAACAATCGCTGATTGACAATTGCAGCATATGGTTATATGAGCTAAGGAGATGCCCTAACTTTAGCTATTTTATAAATACTATATGTTGTCTCATGTATTAGACTAAAGAAATATAATCTCTTTGGCTTGACTTGAAAGTTAATATCCCATAATAAATCATTTTGCAATATGGCATCCATCAAGGGGTTTGCCTGTCAAAAGTTGTGCCTTCAATTAGCCCTTTCAATCTACAGCTCATTGAATTGTCGGCCAGACCCATGATATATTTCCTTTTATTTATATTTTGTTTTGTTTTATTTTTTTGCTCATGTTGTCTGGTCGAGAAATTGTTGGGATGCCCCAGTCCCCAGTCCCCAGTCTCGATTTCTTTCTCGACTTCTGTTAATTTTTTGGGCATCGCCTCGCTTCGCCGGGGTTCATTTGAATTTTAGGCACGCTGCCCGTTGCTTGCAGCGCTTTATTTATTGACCCAGAAATCAGATAAATACATTTTTTGTTTAAAAAAAAAAAGCGACAAAAAAATAAAATGCCGAAATCCAAAAGGCAAAATCATAATAATCGCATGCGCTGGCCAAATTGGAGCCAGAAAAACATGGAGCAGCACATACATGACCATATGGTCAGCGGACAAGTTGCTGCTGGTGGAAACTTCTGCTGGAAAATTGTGCAATTGCGTTTTTGGGGGAGAGAGGGAGAGCAGCACAGGTTGCTTGTAGTATCTTTGTATCTTTTAGTATCTCTGTATCTGTATCTGTATCTCTGTATCCATATCTGCCGGCCGAGCCTTTCTTTGCACTTCGCATCGCTGCAACTTTAGTCGCAAAATTCAAACGAAATGGCAACAGTTATTATTTCTTCTTATTTTTGGGTCTGGCAAATTTGCATTTTTGTTTGTCTTGGGTTTGCACATTTTTTGCACATTTCACTCGCTTGTCTGTTTGCCGTTCTTATAATTTTCCCTCGCCTTTTACATTTCCATCATTTTTGTGGTTGAGTTCTGTTTTTTGGAAACATTTTGTGCAAATATTTGTTGCGATGGAGTCCAGGTTCTTTGGGTCCCACAAGGGGTCACGATCGGAATGACAAATCTCCTGCTAATTGTGCGAAAATACTTTTTACTTCATTAGTATTCACAAAAAATACACACCGGAAAGAAACCGAAAAGTACGCAGAGTAAAGTCTTATGAAAACAAGACATTGTTAGCGTAACTTTAATGCCATACTTAAATGTAAATTGAGTGGCATTAAAGTGAAAAATAATATACGAAAAAAGTTAAACGAACCCCAACCTTTGAGCTGCGAAAAGTATTTCGGCAAGGGAAACATTGAAACGTGCGTTTGGCTATTCAATTATTACTTATTTCACTTATTTCTTTATATTTTTCTTTTAATTTAACAAAAACTAATGGCTGTTTTTATTTAAAAATTAATTGATTCATTTTCTGTTAAAAATGTTCAATTATTTATTTGGGTTTAGAAATGTCTGGTTTTCTTACAGAAGGACATATGTAAGAGGATCTAAAAAACTGCACTAAACTTGCACCAAATGTGCTGTTAAGTGTACTAAATGGTCTAATCAGTATCTAAAGTGAAGCATCGGGAGCGAAAATTAACTTTTTTAAGTCTTAAGGTGCTGTAGAATGTACCAAATGCAATTTAACACCCACAAATTAACTTGAAAGTCCGCCAAATGTTATGCAAAAGGTATCGAATCTGATGTAAAGTGTACTAAATGGTCTAAAAAGTTCCTAAATTGAACTGTAAGACACCAAAATTTAGTTTCTTTGATTCGATTTTATTTAAAATCAGTATTTAGTTCCACCTTTTAAGAGTTAACACTGACACAACTCATCTTAAAGACAAGCAATTTGTCTATATCTGGTCTGAAATTTAGAAAAATCATTAAATTTTGGTTGGAAAAGCCTAACTATGAAATTAAACAGCCTTAAGTGCTTTTCCTAATTTACAATTAAATCAAAGTGAAATGTATTTACATAGATAGAATACACTTCCCCAGACACTTGCTTCGTCAAACCATCTTCAATCTGACCGCCTCAATATGACAAGTTCAATCTAATTCATTCTAACCGTTCATTCATCCATTCCTTACACCATTCATTCATTCATTTATTCATTTATTCGATGACTGTTTTTGACGCCCACGCAACCACACGATGCCGTGCAAAATCAACCCACGCACTCTGCATCTTTTTTTGTGATTATTTTTTTTTATATACATGTATTCTTACTCTCCATTGGCCATTGGCCGGCGTCTGTCTGTCTTTTGTGTCTTTCTGTCCATGAGTTTGTCCCCTGTCCGGCCGGCGTCTTGAGTTGGTGGCGGAGTGGGCGTCAATTGCGAGACGCAGCTTGAATTGATTTCACTTTTTGCGGCATTGCGTTCGAGTATCTGCAATTGCATCTGCATCTCAATCCGTAAATGTGTATCTGTGCGAGGTGCCAGCGTGTGAGTGTGTGTGAGTGTGAGTGTATCTTGGGGGAGAATCACACTCTTGACTGACTGACTGACTGACATTGGCCTTAATGAGGCACGTAACTGCTGCGGCTGCTGGTGTCAACTTCAGCGATTAATTCGCATATGAAGCGGGCGCGGATTGCACTTGCCACGCGGCAATTAGAGGTCGCATCCCTCAGATAAATATATAGATAGATGTATAGATCTATAGATACTTTTGCACTTTCCCCGCTGAGAGGCTCACCCCAAGTAATTGGCAGGTGTCTATGACTGTGCCCACACACACACACAATCGTACTCGTTTACTATGTATCTTTGTGATTTATGATTATTACTTCCAACAAATTTATAGGCTATATCTTTTTGGGGAGAAGGGTAAGACGCTTGCACTTTTCTATTTGTTGTTGTTTTGTTTTGATTTTTTTCAACACAAATTTTTCTCATAAACTGAAGGCCTCCCCATTTCTGGGGATTCATCTCTATAGTTTTTCAACTGAAAAACTACTTAGTTGCGGGGGTTTGGGTTCAGCCCTTTTTGGAAGTCATATTCAGAGCTTTAATTGCACTTCAATTACTAGCTGATTGATGGATTGTTTGTCTTTGATTTATGTATATATATACTTTCAGTTGGTGCTAATTTTAAGGGGGAAATTTTCGGAAATATTAAAGAATTTGGAAAGGTTATGAAATGTTTCAGAACTAGTTTTAGGCTTGAAATAAGAATAAGCTAAGTAACCCTTTTAGTTACCTAAATTTAAACCTAAAATATATAAAATTATCTTCACTTTGAAGCCTTTTTAAGCTTAGCATTTTGAGTATCTATTCTATATATAATTTTTTGTTCAAAATGAATTTAAAACTTACCTGTTGAACGCTGGGCGTGGTGGCCGTGCCTCCCGCTGGTGAGTCCAATGGCGAGCCAGAGCAACTGGAATGACTGCTGTCCTGCGAGTGCAACTGTAAATATATGTATAGATAAAATACAAATATTAAGTATACGCACACATTAAGTATACGCCTCAAAGTTATATGTATGTTTACTAACCTGTCCATTGGGATGACCATTAAAATGACGCACTGTTACCACTGGTGTGGATGCAGCACTGCTGCAGGATGCTGCCGATGAGGCTGCCGAGGCAGAGATTGCAGCCATTGCTGCCGCCGAATCGAAACTATAGTTATCCAATGGATTGGTCATGGCAATTAGCGAGTTAACAATCTCCGGGGTTTTGGGCGTATGAGCGCCCAGGCCACCCAGGCCGCTGCTCTCGATGCTAAGCAAAGAGGCGGCCGGTATGTTTGAGTTGAACATGGCTATCGTTTATCGATACGATACGGTTATCGAACAAGGCAAAAAACAAACAAAAAAAAAAGTAGTATAATAAACAAAAAACTAAACGTATCTCTCTCTATATATTATATATATATCTGATTTCCTTTCTTTCTTTCTTGTTATGCTTAAATCACAGTTGAAGGCCTACGCGTTGCACTTGTTGGTTTTGGTTGCTTTTGGACTAATCAACAAGTCTATCTATCTTGTTTTTATATATATATATATATATCTGATCCTTGTGTTTATATATATATATCGTTCTCGCTATATATCGAGTGGGTTCTGGAGGCACACTTATCACAAGTTTCCTTCTAGAGTTTCCTTATTTGCTTTCTTTTGAGGAGACTGTTGTTTGCTTTGCTTCTTTTGTGGGAGTTTCGCAGATGATCCATCGGTTTAGTTTCCGTTTCCGTTTCGGGTTGGGTTTCCGTTTCCGTTTCCTTGCTGGTGCTCCCCCGATCTGATCCTATATCCGATCTCTCGAGTCTGTGTTGTTGCCCGAAGCACTAGGGCCGAGCGAATGCGTTGCTTTCAACGTTGAACAACAGCCGGCAACTCGCTTCACATCGATAGCGAATCTGCAAAAATTACAGAGACAAAAACAGAGAGAGAGAGTGAGTGAGTGAGTGAGTGAGAGAGTGGAGAATAAACCAGAGAAAAAGTGAATCAGAGAGACAGAGAGACCCACAGACAGAGAGAGAGGGAGAGAGTCACGTACGTGAGTGCGGGCCATGTCAACGTAAACAAAAGCAATTAAATTATAAAATAAACTCGGCTAAATTGATTTATGTAAGTCAGCGTGTCGTCGTTTGCGCGTGTCACGCGATCGAGAGCTCTGGAAATCACTATCACGATCGTGATTGATCACGCACCCCGCCCCACTACCATCCCCCCGTCCCCCTTTCAATAAGATGCCTCCCAATTAAGCCATTAATCGTTTAATTAAGATCGGGCACACTTTATACACAAGAAAATACTACTAATAATAATAATAATAGCCAGAATAATCAAAAGGGGGCATTCCATTCCTCTTCAGGGGTTTCGTTGTGAGGTGAAGGTGAGCAGAAGGAGAAATTGCAACGAATTCCAAACACACTTACACACACTCACAAACATACACTACGGTGGCTGTGCCGGCAATTGAAACGGAATTGAAATGCAATTGAAGGCAATCATCCATGAATTCGCTTGACTCCCGAGAACCTCTTAAAAAAAAAAAAAAACAGGGTTTGGAATGTATGTGCGGTCTGGCCAAGAGAGCTTAGGGTGTTCTAATCTCAAATTTAAGACTGAAACTTTAAGGAAATTAATTGTTTAAAGCCTATAATAATAATCCAAATATTGAAATACTCATAACTAAGCCAAAAAAACACTAATTTCAATTCGGAAAGCTGTCCCATGTAAGTTTTTATTAGATTAACAAATCTGCAAACTCTATTTAAAAGTTTTTAAAATTTCAATTTTGAACAATTTTTTGTTGACAACTTTAACGATAAAACCCCCTAAAAATTTCGAAAAAAAATTGAAATTTTTGTTTCCCCCCTAAGATGGCTAGATCGATTCCCCTATTGATGCTGATCACGAATATATATGATTTATAGGGTCGGAAATGACTCCTTCATATTTTTTCAAGCTTCTACATTCAATTTTAAACCATTCTTTGGACCGATTTTTATCAATAGTTTTATATGACAATTTTTTAGACAAATCAAATATTCAAAAAGTCATAACTCAGCCAAAAAGGCATTCATTTTAATTCGGAATGCTGTCCTATGTAAGTTTTTATTAGATTAACAAATCTGCAAACTCTATTTAAATGTTTTTAAAATTTCAATTTTTAACAATTTTTTATTGACAGTTTTAACAATAAAACCCCTTAAAAATTTCGAAAAAAAATTTAAACTTTTGTTTCCCCCCTAAGATGGCTAGATCGATTCCCCTGTTGATGCTGATCAAGAATATATATGGTTTATAGGGTCGCAAGGGGTTTCTTTACTGAGTTTTAACCTTCTGACTGGAATTATAATACCCTGCAAGGGTATACAATTAGCAATTACTTCAGATTAATAATTTAATAAATTAAATAATTTAAACCCAGCTTTCTTGCTTACAACCCTTTTTTTTGCTTTATTTCCCCCCTTATTTAATTTCTTTGAGGAATTCCAGCCTCTGTATGTATATTCTCGATGAACTATATATCTCTCTGAAAGGCAGAGGGGTTGAGTTGTTCAAAGATACAGGGGGAGGTAACTTAATGTGATGGTGGTTGGCCACTGGAAAACCGGGGGGAATTTCGCTCAAAATGCAAATTGAGGCTGTCAAACTTCAAAAGCCGAAAAACAGAACGCACAACACACACACAATACACACAGAATACACACAGGAAAACATCTCATTTGGGGTTTGTGTGCGATTTTAGAAGCTGCCTTTGACCATTTATCATATGGCCAAAAGTGTCTGCACTGCCATTATATATTGGTATTGATGCACTGACAGAAAACGGGGGTACATTATTTAGAAATATTAAAAATACTTGAGAATTTTAATATTTTAAGCATATTAACTAGGACAAATTAATAATTTTTGGGAGTTATTTATATATATTTTATTTATTTCGATTAGTTGGTTTTTTTCCCAGTGCATTGACATTTGTGGTTATGTATGCGTGACATGCTCTATAAGTTTTAGAGCTCCCCTCTCTCGTTCTCTCTCTCTTTTCCAAAAAGAAAAAACCCCAAAAACCGAAAGCCAGAAAGGCAAACGAACAACAAAACGAAGGCAGAATAAAGAATTATGATTTATGACTTTCGCATGTTTCTTTATATATTTTTATTATTTTTTATATTTTTATTTTTTCCTCTTTTTTCGGGGGGTTTGTTTCGAGAGCTTTTAATGCTTTTCTTGCCAGCTTGCCAGCCTTTTGATGTGGTGACTCTGGCTCCTGGCCCCCCTTAAAGTTTTTGCTGCAACGAAAATCACTTTTGACATTCGCCTCGCACAGAATCTGAACACACAAATCGATGCGATTTGGCTTACTTTTTTCTGTGTGTGTTTTTTTTTCTGTTCTCTTGGCTTCCAAAACGAATTCGAAAATCAGAAATCTAAAATCCACTTCCACTTTGACTCGGACTTGAAGCCAAACGTTCATTTTGACCAAATGCGGCGGAGACGTCAACGTCAAAATCGTCGGCATCGGCATCGAGACACACACAGCACATGCGTGGCCTCCCCGAGAATGGAGAACATTTGGGGTCAGGGCGATCCGATGCCAACTGAAAGCCAACACTAAACACTGAAAATTTAACTCGGGAGGAGTTGGAAAATTAATACAAAAATACAAGAAAGTCTTCATAATGTATTTATTGTATTTAATTTTGAAACTTTAACGACCTTAAAGTCTTTTTTTCTCTTCTAAAAAGTATTTCTAATATGTATTTCCCAGTTGTTTAGGATCTTTCAAGCATTTTTCCTATATTCTTCTTATTTTTCTTTCTAAAAAGTAATATTTAGCTAGTATATTTTTCGGTTCTTCAAAGCTTTTTTGCTAAATCTACTAGTTTTTCCTTCTGATAAGTATAAATAGTATTTATTTTTCAGTTTTTAAGAACCTTTAAGAACTTTTTCCCCTACTCTACTTACTTTTTCTCATAAAAAACATATTATATTTAGTTTTCAGTTTGTTAAGGACCGTTAATAAATTTTTCCCTTATTCTACTTATCTTTCTCCCAAAAAAGAATTGGTTATATTTATTTATTAGTCTTTATATAACCTTTAAATAATTTTTTCTTCTACTTAACTCATTTTTCTATTCTATTATATACAAATTATATATAACCTAAGCTTCTCCAGGTCATCTAAATATCCAACAAGACTTTTAATAGGCATTAACCCTACCAAATGTCGTATATACTATATCCCTTAGTTTATTTTTTGTACCCCATTTTCTTTATTAAAGAAAAATGTCAAATTTAAATAGGTATAGATTAAAATGTGAGTGGTTAATATCGTTTGCCAGCAATGTGTCTCATCGCAAAATGTTTGACTATTGATTGCGTAAATATCTATCAAACGATACGATCTTATATGCTGTCCAGCTGACTTGAGATTGCGCATACGCCGCGTTGGCTGACCGAGTCGTTTGTCAAAGCAACCGATAAGTTGACAGGCCTCAGGCCGGCGCCCAGCAGGATTTTTGAGACAACACCAAACACACAAAGTAAAAAGTGAAGAGAAAAAATCGAAACATTTTAGCTGGCTGCACTTGCCACATTTGACATTCCCCAGTTGTGCTTTTGCTACTTTGGAAATAAAGTCATTTGCGGCTGATTTGTGGCCGGCATGTGAATTGCCCTCAAGTGTGCGAGTTTTTGCTCGATCGGATCGAGAACAGAGAACAGAAGCTTGCTTGCACAACGATTGAACGATCGATGAAGATATATGGAGAGATCGTGTGGAGATCGATTTGAGGACCGAGTCACTGGGGGTGTCCGTTCCATGCCATGAATATGCGATGGAGGTGCCAAGAAAATTCTTGTCATCGATCAGCTAACATCATACTAAATACTAAAGAACGTATCGATCGAGGCATTAAATCGAAATATATTCTAACTAAATAGCTTTATTTTATTACCCTGTTAAGACAAGCGTTACCTAAGCTGATTGCTAAACAACTAATTTAACGATTAATTTGTATGAGCATCTCAATCTTATGATTACTCAATAGTTTTTTTTATTACATTTTGTCTTATTGAGTTTTAAGCTTCTTAATTAAATGATTTCTACAGTGTTTTCGATTAAATACTATATTTTCAATTATAAGACTACTCAGTAGTTATTTATTAAATATTGTCTTTAAATATCTTATTATTGCATTCATCGATAATTCATCCAAATGATCGATTTTATCGATTCAATCACTATTTATCGCTTCTATTTTCTCACGCAACAACCGATTGGCATTCGACTTGATTTAACCAAATGTTGTTAAGCAATTTTCAATGGAATTATTACACTTGAATTGGTCACGTCGCTGAATATATATGTATACAAACATATATATATCCGAAATATCCCAAAAAGTGTGACTTACTGACTGATCGATCGATGACTCAGATTCCCGTTCCATTTGCATACGATTAGGTAAATTCGATCGCATGCGAATGCGAATGTGAATGTGAGTGCAAGTGAATGAATTATGAAGCAGGGCGATATTGCACAATCGAGTGGCGAGCATTATATTAATAACACTTCATAATTGCGATACATAGGAGCACGGATCGTGGCCCGGACTTGCATTTATCATCGTATCGGCGTGAGTGTCCGGCGGTTCGTGCGATGTGAAAACGCTGCATACTTTGCATTTGGGGGTGCACTCGGCATTTGAGTTATTGTATTATTGTGTGAAAAGTAATATTTATATATAAATGTATATATTGTCCGCACATCTGCCGCCACGAACGTTTATCGGCTCTTTGCTCCGCTTACGTGCTACGTGCCTCGCTCGCACTCTGCATTTCACACGAGCGAACAGCACAAATGGCTAAAAAGCCGGCGAAAACAGTCAATAGAGAGGGGGGG